TGGCGCTGCACCAAGAACCACTGAAGAAGACATGAGCACAACTTCCTTCTCCGCGAAATGTAAATAAAACTGGAATGCCGTCAGATTTTAGCGATCATATTATTTCTCATTTGTCTTCAGAAAAAAGATTATTAGCCACTTGCCCCTCTAAGGCTAGACTCTCACCTTGGTTTTGGTTGTATTTACCCAGAATGCCCTGCGCTGTAGTCTGCTTCCTGCTTTTGTAGTGGTGTCTCTGGTCTGGTAGGCATTCACATATAGATTTGAACTCCGCCAGAGTTCACTTTAACTGAACCGATACCTAAGTTTGTAGTCGGATTAGAGTTTGCTTTTCTGGGCCGCAGCAGAGTTCGATTGCACATCCCCGCCTCCCCAATCTAACCGGACTTTGTAGACAAACGAACCAAAGTTTATTTAACACGAACTTAACAAGACTGGTGTGAATGCACCCTAAAAGATCTTAAAAAGCAATACCTCACCCTCTGATTTACAATAAAAATGTAGAGATGATTAGAAACCAACCAGATTTTAAGTTTTTATTGGGCCATTAACTTCCTTTCGTTTCTCTTCTTTTAGTCTCAGAGATCTGCTTCTTTGGCCTCGATGTCTATGAATTCTGACGCGTCGCCGAGCAGCAGCCACAACTCGTCTCTGCACCACCCTGAGCACAAAGCAAGCAGGAAGGATCACGGCATCCGAACAGCGAGGGGTGAGAAAGGCCAGGTCCAGAAAGAGCCGAATGCTGTTTTCTTTTTTTTTTTTTGTTTGTTCATGTAATTCCTCCTGGCTTCAGGGGTCCACGCCCCTCAACACGGAGTCTCCTCAGGGGATGAAAATCGCCACTCTCACTCCCGGCAGCCGTCTCGGGCGGGCAGCATCCCTGCTCTGCTGCCGAAGCCGCCTCTGACTCCGCTGGTCAAACTGGTGGGTAAAATCTACTCCCTCAAATGCAGGTGAGTAAGAAGAGGTTTGTTAGTCAAATAAATGACATATTGATGGATATATTGCTCACTCCCGCTTGCCCTGCCGTCCAGGTTCTGCGACGAAGTGTTTCACGGGCCTCTGTCCGTTCAAGAGAAGTGGATCACACACCTGCAGAAACACATCCTGTCTCTGGGCTACAAGGGCAAAGAGGCTCCTTCTTCTCCAGCCGCTCCGTCTGCTCCAGCACTTGTCCATCCGGTGGCCGTATGAACTGACAAGTGTTCCCCAGACTCCACGAAGGAACAACCGTCTTTTTAAATGTCTTCATTTAAAAAAAGAAAAGAAAACTTGTTCCCTTCTCGTCCATGGGAGGGCAGACATGAGCCGTGAGAGAGAGCAGCGGCTCTGTGTAACCCACTCAGGAAACATCCACTCTTCATACACGGTTCTGATCACAGAGCTTCCTCCACCTGCTCAGAAGATTAGGGTTAGGAGAAGATTTTTTTTTTTTGAGCAAATCGCATTTCTTTATTTTGTATGTTTTCTACTTTCTGATCTAAATCACATTTTTATTGAATACTTAAAAAAAACAGATTCTTATGCATTTAAACTAAATGGATTTTAAATCATTTCATGTATGTATTAAATCTTCTGACAATTTTTTTTCTCTTTTTTTTTGCAGAAGGGATATTGTTGCAGAATATTCCCAAGTTGTTTTCTAGAAAAAAAAAACCCCAGTACATCTCTTAGATGAATTATGTTTTCTGTTGAATATCTTCTTTAAGGTTTTTCTGCTTTTTCAATTTACAATGTGTGTTAAAGAAATGGAATTATGTCACATATTTATATATTTTTTTTTTACGTTGGTAATTTCTAAGCAACATGCAGCAAAGGCTCAATGGGACAGTAACCGTTTTGATAAGAGGCATCCCAAGTAGCCTCACTAGCTGTCCTTTCCTTTTCTGCTGAGATTTCAAAAACAAACAGGCTGTTCAGGCTGCACATATCCTTTTCTCTTGAGTCTATTTTATCTGTAAATAAAATTTGTCATGTTTACTTTCTTTCTTTTTTGGACTTTATTATTAGTGATATTAGATAACGACAGGCCTCTTCATGCACCGTATTGAATACGTGACCAGGAGAACCTCGCTTTTTATGCCGGAAAAAAAGGCCATATTAGCAGGGGTTTAATTTCTTTTTATAAACTTTTACTGTATTATTTTTTTTTATCTTTGAAGATTTATCATCCCTGTGGTTCCTTGAACCCAGAGTTTTCCAACATGTTTTTGAGAACTGCTTCACATCTGCTGCTTGGAGTCGACTAACATCTGGCAGCTGTGAGCAGGTATTCCAGCCTAGGATGGTTTTCCATGCATTTCTTGGTTTTGCCTCAGAAATATTATGCTTCATCTCATAGGAAGAAGTAAAGGAGCAATTTGTCCTTTTGTTGCTTTGGAGGAACTAGCTTATGTTTTTGCTACAGCATTTTTGACCCGAAGAACTCTTTGCAATCAAAACGAAATTAAAAAAGCAAAGAATAAACATGATAATGGCAAAAATGTTTTTCTAAATGTGGCCACCCATATTATCAACTACTTTAAACCAATACTAGGAAGTGAAAATAATCAAATGTGCTGGAGTGAAAGATGTTAATTAGGTACCAACAGTGAGAAACGGCTGAGTGAACCTTCAACATAATCTAAAGCGATTCTTGGTAAAACAACATTCAGTGCTATAAATCTCTCACCTTATGAATCAGAAAAAAAATCAGTAATTCATTTCACTCTGACCTTTAATCAGTTGAATGATGTTCATCTGTTTTGTTTTGTTTATTTTGATGTTGATAGTTTCTACAATACTTTTCAAAATTTCAACCACATATTTAACCCTTGGTACCACTCATTGTTAACATGAGGTCATTTATTTTTTACCCAATTCGTCCCAAATGTGTTTGGTGGAAGCAAAACCTAACCCAACCTTGTTTTCCCCCCTCTCTGTTGATCAAAAACTTAATTACAGCTCAGACTTTAATTATGGGCATGGTTAGACAAGCAGCAGTTTTCTTGAAGAACAAGCACTTGACTGATTGACTTGAGATGTTTCCTCGTCTTATCTATTGTCACGAGGGGCTGACAGAAACAGGTGTTGTGTTATATTTGTACTCTAGGAAAACTAGAAATCCACTGAATAAAAGTGTACTCAAATTTATAGTTGCACAACTAACTTCTTCTTTTAAAGATACTTGCTGTTACATTTCTTTTAAAACACTAACAAAATCATCACTAGTAACTTTTTGAAGAAACTTCTGGATTATTAATTAATTGAGATGGGATCTTTTTGGGTTTAAGGTTTTGTTCCAGTGTCTGATGCACTTATTTATTTATTTATTTTTTTTTTGCAGCAGGCCAAACTTTTATTGTCATGAAAATCTCCAAAAATCAAGAGTGAAAGTGTATCAAAAACACAATAAACTTCTACAGGATTAGTGACTATTTGAATGGATAGGTCAGAGTGAAATCTAGAACACAATTTAAACTCTTGTTTAAAAATGGAAAACTATATTTATTGAATAAAGATGGGATGTTTCTGATGTACTTGAGCAAAGTAGCAGCAGACAGGAGAATGCATTTGACGATTCCAGTAAGTTATGCTTCATGCGTCCTTCCTCTGCCTCTGGTCAGGCCTCTTTCCATTTCTTCTTCACAGTGAAAGTCTCTCGGGCCTGATACCGTGTGATTTGCTGCCAGGAGCAGTCCGCCTCCAGCTACTGATGGATTATTCTGATGGGTGCTGCTCTAATGGGGTGCCAACCTACAGGCGTTTACGGCGTTCTGCAAACTTTCCAGCCTGCCGGGACCAAACTGAGTAACTGCACACAGCCGTCAATGTCCAATCATTCAACGACATTCACAGGGGACTAAAAGCAGCAATTTCCAAACACTTATTGAACCGAGAACCCAAATTAGAAGGTCATCTGTCTTTCAGGGCCGCCGGGTTTGAAGCGCTTGGCAAACAGCTTGAGGATTCATTTTCTCCGAGAGAGTCTGGCACAATCTGGCCGTTACACCTGCTGTAACGCTTCTGTTGGAGGGAAATTGATGTGAACTAATAATAATAATAATGAGAATTTAAGGACTCGACAAAAGAGCCTTTATACAAAATACCTCATTTTTAGAGCTACATGATTGGATTGTTTAAAAGTACAAGAGCATGTTTAACTATACACGGCAATAGTTTGACTTACAGTTTTTAAACGTCCCTTTTTGTCTACTTTTCTACATTTTAACTTTTTTTTTTTTTTTTTTAGTTTTCCAAATTAGCAAACCAGCTTTATTAACTCTGCATAAGAATTGTTTACATTTATTTCAAAGAAGTCCATTTTTTTGTTTATGCGAATCAAAAATGCGAAATGACATTCTTGAATCGTAAAAGGAACTGCTTTTCACAGTTAAATGATGATCCATTTAATAATTCAGTTCAGACTGAGGCTGACTTCAGTAACTGGACATTTCTGCTTTATGTCACACCATCAAGATGTGTGTTTAATACAACAGTATGTAACGGTCTGCTTTGATCTGAATTCGCCCACTTAGAGCAACAGAGACGCTCTGAGTGTTTGGACGTCTCCCAGATGGTTTCTGGTCCTCACACTCTGAAAATCTGCCGATACGACTATCAAGTGATAAGAGGTGACTAATGATATGTTCCCCTTCGCATCCAACGCACAGAAAGTTTTGCTTTCTAGTTTTGAATCTGTTTGAAAGAAATCACCTACCTCTCGGGCAGCAAGACTTTCTCTCCATCTCCTTCTTTGTCTGTGACTCATGACTCTGGACCGGAACCAGTCCAGGATTTTCAGTATGATTTATAGCTTGTTTTGGTCCTTGGCCGAAAATAAGGTTTTATCACACAGTTTGTGGCGTTACAGTCATTCTCGGAGACAACGGATTCCTCGAGACAACTCTGACACTGGATCTGAACATTTCTTTCTGTTTTCTTTGTTTTGTTGTTGACATTGTTGCTGTGTGACATTTCAGCTTCAAAATAGCCAGTCTTGAACTGGGACGCATGTTACTATGCGAAAGCTAAAGAACAGTTTTTGCTGCAAATTCATGTTGCGTTCTCACTCTTTGTATTTATGCGCGTAATTGAAACGTACTGCACTTTTGTTCTTGCATTTGAAAAGTCTCTCCTTAAGATTTTCTCTTCTTTGCCTTCTGTGAGGCTATGACTCGCTCATCAGCGCGCGTGTAGCAGCACAGCGTTTCAGATTCACAGCGTTCGGCTGGACTGCACTGACACGAGACATCAGAGAGAACGAGCGCAGGGAGCTGACCTGCTGCTGGGGTCATCGTCACCTGGCTACATGACCCCAGAGAACGACTGCATCACAGTCACAAGAAGTCGTGAATCAGCAGAGAGAATCTGAGGCAGTGAGAGGAAATGCATGATTAGCTGCCAAGACACTTTCTGACAATACTACTGCTACGTGTTATCGTGGATCAATATCAAAAATGCAAACAATGTGAAAACAAGTCACAAACTGATTCAGGACAAAAGGCATAAAAAAAAAATTGCCTTCGTTTTATGGCAGTCGGTTTTGTTTTTTTCTTTAGATGGCAGTTTATCAATTAATCATAAGTCGACAGATAAGATCAATCACTCATTAATCGCTAATCGCTTGTTTCATTTTGCTGCACAAGTGAAACAAGCAGTTCCTTAAATTCGCTACAAGAAGCGGACATTAACCTTCATACCACACCAAAGGTTTCTACAGAGAAAAAACACGTTTGTCTTTCATGGATTGTACTGCCTTATGGTAAAGCTCAATGTTGTGCTAACATTTTAATTTCATGAAGTTTATGAAGAACAAAATGTTTGATTTATGAGTTAATACAACATGGAGTAAAGAAGGAAGGAAAAGGTTTTCTTCTGTATGCTCGGGGTACTTACAGTTGTAATTCAGTTTCTTTGATTATATTATAACTTTTATTGCAGAACAAACTGTTCCAGTGCTTAGATGGAGAGGTTTTAGTCTGAACTGCCTGGTCTTTCTTCTCTTGGGTCTCATTCGTGTTGCACAGAGAGCAGGTGAAACATGATGTCTCTGATCAGGTTGCACAGTTATCCCGTGTCTTCGCTCCAACGAGATGGGTAAATAAAAATACAGGAGAGGAAAAAAGATGTCTTCAAGGTTTTTAAAGTCAGATGGGAAAAATAAGATGAATCAATGCAAGTGAATAGAACTTTGAAATGGAGTGTTGCGCACATCCTCTTGTTTGGTCTGCACCATTTGAGCTGTTATTAATATTAAACTCTCTCCTGCACACATTTCTAGTACCAGGAGGAAACCTCCTGCCCCTTGCTTTTGAGCGCCGCATTCATTTTCAATAGCACAGATTGAAAAAATTGCAAGATTTCTGAAGTATACTTTAGAGATTTTGACAAGCTTTCATCTCATATTTGCTGCAGGTTTGTCAGCTGCACATCTATGACGTGAATCTCCACTTGCATCACATCACCAAAGAGCCGGATTGAGATCCAGTGTCTGTGGAGGACATTGGACAAAAGGAAACTTATT